ATGTATACACAGTGGCGTACATTCAGTCTTGCTCTGGGGTGGGGGGGGGGGTTAACAAAAATAATCGTTATCTTTTTTTTTTCGTTGCACAGATAAATAACTGCTGTATAAATAGACATTATTTTATACAATTTTTTTACTAATTTACAGTTTACTTCTACATTACAGTAAATTAATAGTTGTTGGAATATAAAAATAGCATAGGTAGTTAACAAAACTTTTCAAACACCTATTAATATAATTATTTAATAATTATAATATTTGTATAGTTGTATATTTTAAGTTCAAAGCGTAATAATGAAACTACGAATATATTACACGTCATCAATAATAAACCAATTTTCTTTTTTTTTTTAGCCCCGGGGAGGTTTGAACTCGTTTGACCTAGACCATTTGTATATGCTTTGGTACAACAAAAACTTTGTATACAAGATCGAAACGACGGGTCCTCTCGGACGTACGGGGGCTCTAGCCCTCCCTGCCCCACCTTTTCGACGGCCCTGAAAATCAGTCAACCGCGGGTACGCTGTTAATGAAAGTAATATTTTTTCTCTGTATGCATACTGACACCAACTTGTGAAAGCTCCTTTTCGTGGTTGCATACTATATCTATAACTTGTTAAGGACAATAATATCCGGTGTATAAATAAGACTTATGGGATGTAAAAGAGATTTTAATTGGGAAAACTTATTAAAAAAAACAAATATATTTCCAATTAGTTTTACAAATAGGTAAATTATCATAATATTATGACGTTGCTTTATTTTATAAAATATTTTTAATCATGATAAATGATTCGTTTAATAAAGCCGTAAAGACGTTTGAGTGTTAAACTTAATTCACTACATTTCAAAACAATAATTAATGGTCCCATTCGAAAAATGGTTCTGAGTTAAGATCGGTATAATAAATTATAATACAGTAGAAGAGGCCAATCTTTTTTAAGTAAAAATAGACCCTGAAAAAATATATATTTTTTTTTCATAAAATATCGACTTAAAAAAGATAAACAAGAAGTATATTAAGATAAAATAATGATTGATGAGTTAAAATCAACTGTAACAATTGTAATAATGTATAAATTAATATAAATTACTTAAGATCGATCTTCGATAATTGTTTGGGATTGACTGATTATTATTACTACATATAATTTACTTTTTATATTAAATATAATTTATATCAAGTATCTCTATACTAATACATTGAATAACTACCAGCGAACCCGGAAAATGACCCCTTCAAACTATTAATAATTATTAATTATTATCATTTAATTTCCCAAATATCATTCATATTATATAATAATAATATTAATATAATAGGACTTGCATTTTGATAATGTAATTTATCAGAGTCCCACTAACAGCCTTTAACGGCTGATATTGTTGAGGAAGAACTTTTAACTAATTAACAATGACGATTAACGATTGACATGTTCATGGTTTTTTTCTCCGTAGTTAATTTCAAAATATTTCAATATATTTATATTTTATCAAATTTTGTTGAAATATTTAAATTCTTCTAAAAATGATTGTAAACAAGTTTATTTCTATATATTTTAATTACAATTCGAAGTATTCAAATTGGTTATTAGTCTGAAAAATGTAAATTATATTTAAAATTATTTATATTATAAAACAAATATGTACCCTACAGTATCTATGCGGTCTGAGTACGACCACCGTTAGGTCGTGTTGGCTCGGCCACCATAAATACGTTTGAAGCCGCTACACCTTAACTGACTGGTATGTTTTGTGTACATGTGTAGTAGTGTATATAGCTCAATCGGGGTTGCTGAGCAAATACCGACGATCTATGAAGTGAATATCTGTGTATTTATTATATTATATTATCTATTACCTATTAAATAAATAAATTTCTTTATAAGATACAAATACATGATGTAAATATATACATTGATAAAGAATATATCTACTCCTGTAAGCCTAGGCTTATGGTGGAGTAGAGCGTTAGCGAATAATCGTACATAAATTATAAGAAAAATAAATTTAAAATAATATTATACACAATTATAAAATAAAATAAAAATCTAAGAAAACATGATTAAGTACTCAAAAATAAAATATATTTTACATACTTAAATATAGACTAACAAACATCGTTATATGCGGATTTCTCTAAGAAATATTAAATTCGGAAAAAAGCGTATCACTTATGATTTTTTTGTCATTTAATAAGCCATAATAAATGTTATTTTTTGATAAAGTTGGCTAACCTATATTATATTATATTATATTATACTTGTTATTAGTTCTAATTGTGTACTTAGAACTAATAACAAAATGCAACTCGTCAGTGATGTCATATTGGAGGAGGGTAACTCATGGATTAGCCCTAGCCTAGAGTTTAACTATTTTAAAGTCAGCACATCATCAAAATATAAATATGTCTTTTATAAATACATAGGTATGTTGTAATTCAGAAAAATTAAACGTATACTATACGAGTACTCGTGTATGTAGAAAGTACAAATCATTATATTTTCGGGCTGGTCTGACGTCCCTTTCTCCGCACATTAATCAGCATTTGGGTAAAATAAATGAGTCAGCAGTTTATTAACAGCATGACTGTGTTTTGTTATGTCTTTTTGAGATCGATCAGTCCACATTTTAAGAATGAAAATCAAAATAATCAACGTTTGAAAATTTTAAAATATTCAAATAAAATGTGTAATAGTTTGAGAGTGAAATTGGGAAATGAGGACTGATCATTATCAAGACATGATGACGAATTTAAATTAGCTTTCAAAATTGTTATCATATTACTAGGCTGGTCGTTATAGTGGATAAAAGATTAGTAGGTATGTTTAGGTTAAAATAAAGACTTGTTTGTAAGGGCCTTAACTTGCTATTCTTATAAAGCAATTATTTAAAGTTATCATTTACTATGCATTCATGATAACTACATCAATAATCAAGCCTTAAACGATTTGATTTGTTGAATTTCAGATCAAGATGAGTATGTGATGACCACATTGGAAATAATGGTGTTCGGAGTATTAATAAAAACAAAAGATAATTTTACATTGATATTTAAATATTATAAAAATTACATTTATTTCTAATCGTAACATTTTTAATAGTATTTATAATACGTACTAGATTTATGTATATATATATATTTATCATATTAACATATATTATCGGTTGATAAAATAAAATAATATCGTTGTAATTAAAAATGTACATGCACTTCGCGCAGTAGTAGCTCTATAAAATAGATATAAAACTTGTATCAAGACAGACGGAACACTAATTACAGTAGTTACACGTCTATAGTTTATATTAATAGATATTAGTAAATAATATAATATTAAGATATAACGTGCATATTGAATACGTAAAAAAAATAAACTACTACTATATAAAGACTAGATCAGTATTTTAAAATGTTTAATTTTTCTTTTAATTACATAAATATATCATGTATACATATAGGTAGGTATATATAGGTAAACATGTATTAATTAATAATTATTTTATTCTTTTTACTCTTACGTACATTGCGATGATCATTTATCTAAATCGCAATATAAAAATGTATAAAGGCCTATCAGTGGACAAAATCATTCAGTCTTTTCAATTTTTTTAACAACAAATTTTTTTATAATTAATTTCAATATTACGTTGATCAAAGACTTGAAAACCGCATGTATACAATAAGGGGGGGATACGAGAAGAAGAGGGTTATAAATAATTATATAATTAAATAAATAAAAAAATTAATAAATTAAAAAAAACACGAGGAGTACAAATCGTTATTGTGGTGTATTCATGTATAACTATGGTAAAAAATCAACAACTTCTTGAGCAACAAAATATGGGCAGTTTTTATATTTTTTTGATACAGATAAAAAAACGACAAAATAAAAATATACACACAAACACATACATGCACGCAAATGCATTCAAAATAAGTAGATAAATTATGCAATTAAAATAAATCCCAATAGGTACATATTATTGTTTTCTGAGTATCAATTTTGGAACTTTTCGACATTTAAGTAATGAAGAACTTAAGTAGAAAGTAAATATTCAGTCACTCTCTCGAAACATACGATCGTACATAATTACCGCCAGTGAGATTATTATTATATATGTTAATATGAAAAATTACAAATAGTGGTTGTAATAAAGTAAGAGGGACAAATTGAAGGCGGCAAGACGTCGCTGAATAGAAAAAACGTATTTAACACTTATTTAATTTTTTTATCTCTTTTTATATGTATATCATTTGTTTACGGAATGTGTTCAACCAAAATTCGGAAATTAACTATAAATCATTTAAGAGGCTTCAATCATCTTTGGTTCATAATAATATTGTACGAGTAATTTTGATACTTAAAGGTAATATACACACATATCTAAGGCAATCATACGTATGCCACATGTTTTAAAATACAATATATCATGTTTTTATTTAATTTTTTTTTACTAAAATAAAAAATGCGTCATAAAAAAAGATAATCATGAATGTACAAAGTTCGACCTAATCATCATAAAAAAAAAAAAATGTTAAATTAATAAAATAGTTATATTGATACAGTCCTAAGAAAGGATTAGAAAAGATATTTTTTTTCTTAAGAAAGTGATTTTCGATTTATTGATTAAAAGTTTTTAATGTTTGCCCATCAAGATCTAAATTCAATTAAAATATCAATAATCAGTGGAATGAAAAACAGAAAAACCAATAATAAATAATTAACCTACAACAGATCAATTAATCAAAACAGTTTTCAAAAATCACTACAATTAGTAGTAAAACATTTTTCTTGCTCATAAAGAAAAAATAGAAAAACGAAAAGAACCGACATACATGTTGGCACCGAAGTCGCATATAAATACATAATATAATAATGAAAAATATGTGTATACATTTTATTGTTGTTGCTGTTGTTGAAAAATAAAAGAGAATATGTCTATACAGTCAAAATAATAATAATAATAATAATAATAATAATAAATAATAATATTTTATATATAACATATTATATATAAAGATATAATATATACATACAGATATATTGTTAAAGGAATGTGATACAATGATACCCGTAAAGGTGTATATAGAATGGAGTTCAAGCGCCGAATTTTATCTCTGTATCACGTTTAGAATGTCTTTCAGGGTGGTGTCTAACGTTTGGAATATGGTTGAGTGGTCGGTTTGTTGACGGCCACCACCGGCGGATCTCATTTGGCGCGATTGCGACTCTAGCTTGTTGAGCAGCTCACGCAGATGGAACCTCAGATTGGGCGGCGCCGCATTGTCTGCATAGTTCAAACACGACGAGTGAAAACCGCCTACTTTGTCGGACAGCGACAGCCAGCCGGCGGACGTGACGGTGGCCGCGGACCGAAGCGCGCGAAGACTGCTATCCACTGTCTGCCACTGTTCGACGATGTTAGACGTGGACGCGGCGCCTGGCGTGGCGTATATCGCGTTCGACTTGTTGTTGGATGACTTGGCCGCCGCAGCGGCCGCGGCCGACGACGGTTTCACCGGTACGGCAGGTCTGTTGTCGTCGTGCGATGGCGGCCACACGCGTCTTTCCTTCAACGTCACGGCCGCAGTGGTCACTTCGGACGGTGGACTCTCACCCTCCCAAAGTTTCTTCAGGCTACTTATGCTACCGGTGCTGCGTCTTTTATCGTCACCACCGTCCCCACCACCTTCGTTTAACTCGACTGCCGTGTTGCCATCACTGCCACCACCGTCCTTCTTGTCTTCTATTTTAACTTTTTTCAACTGCGATTTGATTTCCGCTATGTTATTGTCAATACGTTGCAGTTGCTGCTGTTGATGATCGCGGTCATCTTTACCGATTTTCCTCAAACTGGTTTTGAAATCGATAGGAGACATAGACCGCTGCTGCTGCTCGTCCTTGCTACAGCCAACGGTCGTCTTTTTGTCACCACCGCCGCTACCTCCCGTAGAGTGATGTTTCAGTTCCATCATTTCCTTCATGATGTCTGGTACGAGGCTTTTCACGTCTCTGGCGTTTGCATCTTCGTCAGATGACGGCGACACCTCGATAACGTTTTTCTTTGGCATTATAGGAGACGGCTCGACAGCCGGTTTGTTGAGCTCGGTTGGTAGTTTATCTTTACGAGCACACTTCAGTCTAGCCGGTTCCGATTTAGCGCTGTTACACGAATCTGTAGACGGTTCTCTGTGCCTTAGGCTCACCCCGAACCGGAAAGTTGACATTTCTTCGTGGTCCAGATCCTCGGGTGGTGGTGGAGGGGGGAATTCTAGATCCGCTAGGTTCGGTGGCGGAGGTTGAGCGCGAAGTGTTCGCGGAGAAGAAGGCTGGAAGTTTGTTGAGGAATTGCTCCTAGTCATATTACCTGGCTGTTGAAACGGTCGACGCAATGCAACATTGGTACGATTAGAAGGCGGTTTAGAGATACTCGGATCGGCGGTTTCACCATTTCCATGCCTTAATGATTCCAAGTATGCTCCGATACGCGCTCCTTTTGGTAATGTGCCATAACGGTTGATAGCCCGTTTTACATTTTGTACTTCTAACGCTGCAACCTTAGGTGTATCTAAATTGTTAGTGTCTCTTTGGTAAAGTGGATGAGATGCTTGATGTTTGGTAGTTTTTTTGGTAAGGGAACCACGGTGTACTCGATTTAATAGTGGTACATGAGAACATTCGTTTTCCGTTTCTACTGGTTCAGCACTTTCCTCGCTGGCACCATCACTATCAGCCAAGGTATTAACAATATTTTGTAATTCTTTGGTGATTCCTATAATATATTTAAAGTTATAAAAGTAATCACAAAACTTATAAAACAAATCAGTACATTTAAATTTAATTAAGATTTTTTCTTCTTTTTTAAAATTATTTAACAATGACTAACCATTTGTTGAAAAATTTTCTTCGGAAAAATGTTGAGAAGGAAGTGACATGGCTGCATCATTTTGATCAGTAGTCACTGGTCCACCATAATGAGAATCTCTAAACGAACTGCATGATGACAACAAGCTGAAATCAATCATTAAATGTTATGTAATTATTAATTTTATAACTAGAAAATTAAATTAACAGTTAATAATAAAAAATAAATATATATAAAATTACCTAGTGCGTTTAGGTGGAGCTGGTGCTGTTTTACCTCGTTTATTCGTAGGACGGCGTAATTGCACTAGGCTCCCTTTTACAACAGACCCTCCAAACGTAGATAAATTACGTTCAACTTGTGTAATTGCTTCTAAGAATAATAATGTATTAAAAAGTTAGAAATTATATTTTAATTAGAATATTTACCATTTGACTCTGAAGAAGTACCCATAATATTAGAACTATTTCCATGAGATTTTTTATGTGATAATTGAGGAGTTGAGTTCCCTTGCAGCTGTTTTTCAACCTCTATAATAGATTATAATTCGATTTTTGATTTAACAAAAATGTGTTCCTTTATTCACAACAAATAGTATATACCTTCAATAATATTGGACTCTTGAAACATATTTTCCAAAGCATGATGAATTTCTTTAAAAGATGGTCTTTCATTAGCAGCCCATTGCCAACATTGTTTCATTAGTTGATATATATTTGGAGGACACCCAGGTGGACAATCCATTCTGAAAATTTAATATATATAAAGGTATGAAAAATGTATCATTGATTGTTTTAATTTGAATTAAATATAAGAATTAGAATGAAATATCATACCAAATATATTAAATTCCATACATTTTAAATTAACTGTTTAGAAATTATGCTAGAGTACTTAAAAAAAAGTATAGTAAACAGCTAACTAGAACAAGTTCATATAAAACTGACCTATTTGTATTTAATAATAATTTAAATTATATATGTTGGCATATCATTAAATGTTAAATACCTTATTGTCTATCCTTTATACAATAAAACTAAATATAATCTAAAATTATAAAAATAAAATATTTTATTAATTTTTATAGTTGAAATAATTATTGTACTAATTTTTCAAGTTAAGTTTATTCTGTCATCAATATAAAAGAAATTTGATAACATTAATATTAAAAATATATATCATCTGGTAATACTTTAAAATTGTATTAATTTTTAGAGTTGGAAGAGTATTTTGTACAATTTTTTGAGTCTAGTTCTTATGTTTATTTCACTATTTTATTGAAATATAAATGTTAAAACTATAAATAACTATGAACCAAATATTTCCCATAGAAAATATCAGGAAGGTTGATGGGATGAACAATAGGTTGAAAGTAGATTGATATTTTATTATCATGATAACAACATTTTATACAGATTTGTATCCACAACATTTTTCTCAAGTAGGTACTCAACATTTATCAAGTACTTGAATTTTAAACTTGAATCAACTCGAAATAATTGAAACTTTACTTGACATAAGAAAAACAATACTTATTCAACTCTAGTATTTTAAATTAATTTTGATATCAACAAATACTCATTATTGTATATTAACCTATGTATTAAAATATATGAAAAATATTCAGTAATCAGTTTAGATATTATCATTTTAAATATTAGTCACTTTCTAATTTTTTTTTTTTAATTTATAATTTATCTAATGCTAAATTATTAGATAAATAAATAATGAATATAGAGTGTAATTGTAAAAATTTTTTTTTAGATAGTATATATTATTTAATATATTAACTGTTGATTACTTTAAATTAAAAAACAGAGACCAAATGTTTATAAAATTTTAAAAAATGAAATAGATTTTAAAAACAATTATATAATTCTATATTTTACAACTAATGTAAAGTTTGATATTGCTTTTTACATGAGATTAATTTTTTTTTAATGTTTTTGCGGAAATCAAAATAATACGGGTATCATAACCATGGGGGTCAAGTAAGTTGTGTTTAAACACAAAGTTGCCAGTTTGAACCTGTCCTCTCATAGTTTAACTAATAGAGCGGATTGAGAACCCTCTATCTTCTACCTGGTAAGTTTAGGTCGATCAAAAAGAAATATTTGAGATAAAAATAGGTCAATTTCTGATTTCTAATAAAAAATATTTGACAATTATAAATAATGATGGAGATTATGCATATAAATGATTATGAATATTTTTTATAATTATTTCTACTAACTGCCTAATAACTATGAATATGAATATTATACCTGTATCCTTTTTCTAACATATGATAAACATCAGTTAAATCAACTCCAGGATATGGAGACATGCCATAGGTTGCTATTTCCCATAACAGAACACCAAACGCCCAAACATCAGACTAAAAAAAAGGTAAAAAAAAAGAAAAATACAACTAAAAAATAATAAAGTAAAACATACTTTAGTTGAAAATTTATTGTATGCTAGGCCTTCAGGAGCAGTCCATTTTATAGGAAATTTAGCACCTGCATGAGCTGTATATGTATCGTCTCTCATTAATCGAGCCAAACCAAAATCAGCAACTTTAACGAGGTGATTTTCTCCTACAAGACAGTTACGTGCCGCCAAATCTCTGCAACAAAAAGTTATAAGCTTTCATTCAAAACCTAATATTACAGAAAACCTTACCTGTGAATAAACATGCGACTTTCTAAGTAACTCATTGCACTAGCTATTTGGGTGGCCATGTACATGAGTACAACTGCATTAATATTTTCACGATTACCTTGTCTTAAATAATCTAAAAGATTGCCTTTACTCATAAACTCTGTTATAATGTAAAATGGTGGTTCTCTAGTACAAACACCTAAGCAAATTTTGAAAACAAAATATTTAAGTCATAAATATCAAAGATAAAATATTTTTAATAAAACTACTATACCTAATAATTGAACTAAATTTGGATGTTTCATTTCTTTCATAATAGCAGCTTCTTCCAAAAAATCTTTAAGGGCCATTGTGTCTTCCTACAAAATTATTAAATCCAATGTAAATAAATATATTATATACATAAAAAGTAAAAATAATTTAAAATCAGAGAATAAAATAAATGGTTATAATTATTTATATAATACCTTTAGGGTTTTTACCGCTACAGTCATATTGTACCGTTTCCAAACAGCTTCATAAACATCACCATATTGACCTCCACCAAGTTTATGTCTCATAACAATATCAGTTCGATTAATTTCCCACTCATCTGGCTCAGGACTAAGAGCGAATACAGTTGGCTTGTTATGTTTAGGGGCTGGATATAAAAGTTGAGTGATAAGACCATCAGAATGCATTGAATGATGATGTACTAATTCAGCAAGAGTATTAAAACGACTCTCAGTTGTTACATATACCTAAATAATATAATATAAATGATAAAATATTATTTAAACACTTATAATTCTAATTTAATTATTCAATAATTACTTTTCCATCTGAAGTGTCTTCATTAATGCGATAATGGTAAACTCGACCTTCATACCTTAAAGAAATAGATCTTTGGCCAGGAGAACTTTCACTTTCTCGAACCAAAAAACTACCATTAATTCCTGAACTAAGCAGATATTCTGCAGCATTTCGTGAAATTGGACCATGATACCAAGAATGTTTTTCCAACGAGTTTACAGGTGTTACATAATTAGAGGGCACCCAACCGACTTGTCCTGGTGATGCATGTGCTTCACACCATTCACCACTTTTATTATAGGATAAAATACGAACTTGTTCACCTATAGAATAAAGTTATATCTTATAATTTTTTTATAATAAATGACTAACTAAAATTTAAAATAAATGATTCTTCAATATTGTATATGATTATTAAGTTATGTAGTTAACCATAATAATAAATTTATAATTAAATAACAATAACCTTTCTTAAGACTAAGTTGGTTGTCACCACCCGCTTGAAAATCATATAAAGCAACAAATAATTGTGGATCATCATCTTCTTGGGATTGCAATAAATTCTCTTTAGATGTCCATCGAATAGAAGATTCTAAGTTGCTAGAAATTGTTCCACCAATAGAACCACCAGAGCTTCCACCACCCGAAGGAATGGCTCCTGGAGGATCACCATCAGGAAGATCTGGTATGTGAGGTAAGGGTCGACTTTGTAATAATGCCTCTGAAAAATAATTCAAATAATTTGTAATTATTAAACAGATATAAGATTAAATTAAATTTTCAGAATACATTATTTTTAATTTTTCAAACAAAATAAAAACTTATTATTTTCCTGATGTTCTTAGTGTATGCTATAACTTATAATTAAGAAAAAAAAGGTAATTTTATTCATATAAATCAGTTTTTAAATGTTATTCAACCACTATAAAATTATAACATATAAACTAATTCTAATATGCTTTATTTTTAAAATTAACTTGTAAAACTTTACTTTTGTCAAGGTAAATTATATTTTTAAACGTATTTAGATTAATTAAGTAAAAATAATTTATAAATATTTACATTAAGATTTAGGTTTAAGTTAATGCAGATATTAGTCAATATTTTATTTTATTTCTGTAATTCTTATTTATTATTAAAGAATCTATAATATAAAATACATAAATTAAGAAATATATATTAAATATTTTTTTTTAAATTATAATTCAAGTGCAATAGAATTAATTGATCTCTTTCTATCTTTGAAATCAATATAAAAAATATCCTCAATAGTATTTTTAAATTTTATTTTACTTGAATAATAAATATATCAATCCGGGATCAATCAATGAACATTTTTTTTGACTGGATTAAAATTAAATTAAAAATAAGATAAGATTAACCTTTTATATAATTTTTTATACTTTCCTTATAAAGATTTTTTCACAATGTATTTCTTTTATGAGAATTCAATTAAAATACATCAATAATAAATATAATCTAAACGAAAAAAAATTATAAGTTATAATAGCATTTGGTAAATATAATATTTATAGTAACAAAAAGATAATAAATACTACATGGGCAATTCATTACTTTTATTAATATTACTTTATAACTATTATGATACTATTATTTTGATTATAACTTTATAAGAACATTGGACAATAGTTAATATATTTATAACTATATTACATATATTATATAATAGTTAATAGTTAAAATATTTCATTAACGATAAATGTTATGTAATTTTATGGTGGATATTTTTCAAAACAAAAGGATTTATTTGTTTGGCAACAATTAAAGACAATGTAGGGTTGATTAAATTTAAAATTTCAATAGAATAAAAATGTAAGAAAAATGTTACTAATTCAATGATGGAACAGTTGTAATTTAGTATGAGCCAGTATGTAATATATAATATTTTGTTGCAGTAGTTGATCACTTCTTAATAATTTGTCGAACCAGATGGAAAAGCAATAAACTCAATTCTAATCTTAACAGCTTTTTCTATATAGTCACTGAATGGGAAAATGCATTGGATGACTATGAAAATCCTTTCAGTTAATTTGGTAAATATTTTTATAATTTTTGATACAGGACAAATTTACTTAAAAAAAGTCCCTATGTATGTAAATGATTTATTAGATGATGATTAAATCATAAATATTTAATATTAAGTAGGTATATTACTTTATAAAAAAGAAAAACGAAAAGAACCAAGATTAATACACCGATTGAAATTAGTTCCAAAACAAATCTAAAATAATGGGTAATTTTGGGGGACAAGCTTTAAATGAAATAATATACCTAGCAAAATATTCAATTTCAACTCAAATGAGTGATTTCATACCTAATAAACATCTTTAGGAAATGTAGATTAATAATCAACTTTAGATGTTGATTTTAAGTCATAGAGAATGACAAAAAAACCAGTACCAGGCCATGATCATCTGGCTCAACATATCAAATATATTAACCAATAGATAGATTCAACATTCTGCATAGAAAAACGAATAATAAAAAACAGCAATATACCTAATATAATTTACAATAATATGAACGCTGTAACTTATGATAAGATACAAGAGTAATTGTGGCATGATGATTTAATATATTGAAAGTACACTCACCGCTGTGCTCAGTGAATATGTTCAGTCCTTGGTTCTTGCCGTCCTTGCCGACATTCGTGAACCTCGGTTTGGACCTGATGCTGCGGACGGTCAGCGACGATCCGGACGTGAGGGCGCGATCCTTGGTCTGCTGCGCGCCCATGGTTAGAGATCATTACCTGAACGAGCGAGTTCAGTCCGCAGCGGACGGACGTTGGGCAACATCTCGGCCGATATGGTGCGAACGTTGAGGCTGTGCGGCCGAACGCATGGCCGCCGTGACCGGATCGGAGAGTGCAAGCAGTAACACTTTTCAAGGGGAGCGCGCGCGCGTTCACGAGACACACGGCAACGCGAAACTTCAGCGACGTACCGATGAACTCCGCGCGCGCGAACACACATGCAAACACCTCCGGATAGCAGACGGGAATACGATGGATGTCGTCGAGTGATTATAATTACTGTAAATCGTACGTCGGCACTACAGCTACAACAGCGGTTTCCGTGATTTTCTTCTCCAGTTTTCTCGCTTATCGCTTATCACTCGTATGTAGCGACAGTAGCCACACACGGAACACAACACTATATACTGCTGACTGCTGCTGCGGAACCGTATGCTCCAAGTTTTCGTCTACCCTGGTTCGCCACGATTGATAAGCGCACGCGTTCGCCGATAAAACGTTATCAGTATGTACGCAATTATAATAATATAAAGTATCTGGCGACGAAAATATTTCAAAATAGTACGTAACAACACGGGTCTTCACTAAACTGTATTGAATATTGTTCTCTATCGTTATTAAGCCGAATATCTACCGGTTATTCGTTAGAAAAATACCCAAATGGTGAGTACAGTTGTAATTTCTTGCAAAAAACAAAAAATGTTACGGTTTAAAAATTCGATTTTAAACTCGTCTCATCGACCCATTATTTTAATGAACACCTATGCAGTGGATGTCTAGTATTGGATTATGTTATATTTGAAAGCAATAATCGATTTTGAGTAGATTAAATTAACATCGTTTATTACATCGAATGAAGTACTATGGTTCTTATTTATTTATCAATTTTTTGATATCCAATAGAATAATATTTAACGAATCTTAATATGTCTACTAACTATACATTAATTGTTTTCTATTTATGAATTTACTATGAAATATTTCAGTTTTATTTTTTATTATCTCATTTAGAATTACTTATTATTACATAGTTAATTATCAATTTTATTTTCTATCATCTTAGTTCAGCATATTTTATTGAATTAAACACACTTTTACTTATTTTGTATTGAACAATGTACTTATTTTGAATGTTGATAATATATACATTTATATGTAATATTTGTGCATATCATTTTTTTTTTGTATATTTTAAATTAGAAGTATTTAAAATAAACGGTATTTAATCTAATAAACAGAACATTTTAAAAAAAGATAAATAATTTTTTTCAGTTTTTTCCAGTAAGAAAAAGCTTTGCAATCCAACTAAGGTCAGTGTATAGTATAGCTACAAAATCTAATGGCTTGCTTCATTCAAAAATTATGAAATTTCCAATTTCTAAACGTTATGCAGCTTCAGATTACATTGGTGTGGAAACCAAAAGTAGGATATCTGATTTTATCAACAGATTTCAAATAATGAACCCATTAAATAAATCTGTAAGTTTGTATGAATAGTTTAACACAGCAATTTCTAAACTTGCCCCTAGGGCACTGTGGTTTGCGGTTCATTACAAATAGTTATTGTTTTCGTAAAAACTTTATAGCAAATAACGAAATATTTTCTATTATATATTCGGATATTCTCATTTTAACCTTATATTTTTATTTAATAGTTATAATCATAATAACAATAATTTTTATTTATTTATTTTTTAGTTTAAAAATACATTAATTTATAATTAATTTAAATTTTAATAAAATTAATAAAATTGGTTATCAATGAGTATTTTTTTTTGTTGTGTCTTCCATGTTATTCATAGCGATGGAACGTGGCTAAATTGGGTCCAAAAAAAGGCATTGCGAAAAAAAAGTTTAGGAACCGCAAGCTTAATACATACATACTACTAAAAATAATAATTTATTTTAACTAATATGTTATGATTACTATGCATTTTTTAGAGGTTTGAAGCTAATAGTTGGATTTTATATGAAAAGGTAGTTGATCAAATTCCTTTTGAGGAAATTATAAAAAGTAAACTGATTTTTGGATTAAAAGTAACAACTTTTATTTTTAAATACTTATTTTATTTTTAGAACTTAACTTACCTGATACATTGAATTCATGGTTTGTAATAACTGAACTTCACTTGTGGATGATATTTGTTCGTTTAATGCATGAAAAGACAAAAGGTTCAATGATTAGAAATTTTATTATGGAAGCATTGTGGAATGATGTAGAATTTCGCTCTAAAAAATTGGGACATGTAAGTTTTTGAATATGTAGTTTTATTCACTCAACTAACCTACAGAAATAATTTTTATATTCTTAGATAATATGTATATATATTTTGTTTCTGACTTTATATTTCATTGAGAAACTATACTGCTTAAACTATCTCCTCTCATTTATATATATATATATATATAATTAAAAACAATATCACATCAAATTAATTATTTATAAGGAGCATACCGTATCTTTATATATGTCACTATAGTATAAATTAATATTTACAAAATAAGTCTATTTTTGTACAGACACGTAAATTTCTATGTAATTAATTAGTATTAAATGCAGTATAGCAGTAGCCACCAAATTTTGAAGTAGTAATTGCTCCAAAATAATACCTTTGCCACGTCACTGATTAAAAGTTAGTGTTATTTTAAAAGTATATTCTTATAAACCAATAAAAGGCATTTTAAATTTAAAATATATTAAAAATTAATTATAACAGTTAGGTTATTATCATTTAACTGTTGATTATTAGATAAGTTCAGATATTCGACATAAACAAATAACAGAATTAAGTGATCAGTTACGAGGAGCTTTAGTTGGCTATGATGAAGGATGGCTCACCAATGACATGGTTTTAGCAAGCATGGTATGGCGTAGAATATTCAATCAACAATGTGATGATCCTGAAAAAATTGAATCAGTAGTGAGATATATTAGGAAACAGGTAATGAAAATTATAAATATATATAATCATATGGTAACTTGAATTTATCAATATTTGAATTTTATTTATTTTCAACAGATGTCTATTCTTCAATTGCAAACATTTGATAGTTTATTTACAGAAAAAGATGTGAAATGGATAAAATTTATATAGAAAACAACAAATAAATAAAAAAAAAAAAAAAACAATGTAAATCATATTGTAACATATTACTTTACTTAACAAAATATAAATTAGATATTTAACTACCATAATTAGTTCCTTTTGGTGTAAATCTTACAGAATTCATTGAGTGTATTGTCAGCAATTGTATCAAAACTGTCTGATAAATGATCATTTTCTGAAATTACTACTTCATCAGATTTGCCTGGAATATTAGCCTCTGTTAACTGTAATCTAGTAGATAAATTTGTAGACAACTGTTCACTATCTACTATCATAGAAGAAATTAAATCACTAGAATCTAAACGATCAAGACTTGTAATTGTAGTGTCCATAAGATTAGATGGATCATTGCATTCTGTAAGGCATGATGATGGTGAGATATTTATGGCTGTTGATTGATCATAATTGGTTTGAGTTGATAGGTTTTGATTGCTAAGCATAGAACATACTGTTGTAGTACAACCACTAATTGTGCCAAGATTTGTTGAAATTCCTGCACAATTACATAATATTTTATAATTTCAGACTAGTTTTATTAATATAAAATTTTAACACTAAAACAAAATAAATTAATAAATAGTATAACTAAAGAAAATTAAAATGTATCAAATTATTTGTTAGTAATTTATTAATTTAATATAAAATTGAAAAAAAGTTTAAATGTACAATCCTATGTATATAATAATAAATAATGATTCAACAAATATTAAATTATAAGAATAAAAAGTGAAAGGTTCAGATTATTATGACATTTTTTTTGTCTAATTACATATATCAACTTACACAACACATGCAATGAAAATACAAATACTTCTATTATATGTATTAAGAAAGTTTATATGGTAGGTAATTAGTTTTAAAATGATTTAACATCCATAAGGAAAGATAAATATTGAAAGAAAAACTTATAACATTTGGAATACTGGACATTATTTGAGTAGTTGAATATGCATCAATTTTTTTTTTAAATCAGTTATGGAAATTATTTTAATATCAACTTACCAACAATGTTGTATAACTTACAGTACATGTATAACACACCATACAAAAAAAATTGTTAATGTAAAATATGGATTTTTCTTTTTAGTTTCTACTTTTTAATTTCTACATATATAAAATCAAACAAATTAAAATTAGTTTACCTGTGGGTGGTCGAACATTGATTTTTGGTAAAGTGTTCAATGTGTTAGAATTTACATTTGGGAATTGATATTCCGATGGTGAAGGTGTCCTCGAATTATACATAGGTGAAAGCTGACCATGAACACTTGAGTTTGATGGTGGATATAAACCACTATAAGAATTGGGACTATTTTCTATACAATAAAAAGTTGAAATTAATTTTTAGATTGGTAAGATCTGATTTAAAGTTCAAACCTGGTTCTTCTTTGATAGGTACAGAAATAGACCGTTGATCAACTACCATTTCACTAATAAAACTTGGTGACTGAGCCAATGGAACTAAAATAATATAATTAGGATTAAAAAAATATTTTGATATTACATTATACACTAAAAGTAAAAAATGCATTGTACTGTAAAAAATATAAAGAAGCAACTATTTGTTAATACACAACAAACTACAGAAACTATAATCTAAACACGAAAAATTATATAATTTAAAAAGTGGATACATCTAAAAGAATATTTATCAGTATACAATGGAATATTAAATGTATCAAATGTATCCATAAATTACAATAAAAAATTGGTATAAATTTATAAACCAGTGTGAATTTGTTTGACTTATTTAAAATAAAAAAATAAAATAAATATGCTGAAATAATATAAACATAGTTTTATAATAAATATTGTGATATGTAAGTTTAAGGGAAAGAAACTTAGTGTGCGGAATACAAAAGATGTATATTAAAGTACAATGAATCAATTTTGCTTTTCAAACGACCACCCCAAAAGAAGAAACTGCCATCACCCCTTAACCAATGTAATAAGCTGCAAATAAAAAAACTTAGTTATCACATTAAAAATCACTGGAAGGGTAAACAGCTGAAGATAAATTACTATAGTAATTGAAGCTCTTTTGAAGGGAAATAAATGTTAGCAATACTATTTCTTTTTATAATAATAAAATGTTAACATAAAAAAATTTTGATATATTTTTATCTTTTGATACACTTATTATTATTTGGTTTATATATATTAATGGTTTACTTTGTAATTATCAGAATCAAAATATTGCATATTACATGCAAAAATTAAGAAAATATATAATATTTTTCAAAACAATTAGATAATAGAAATATCAAATTAAATATTAAAACTAAAAATGTTTTCAAAAAATAATAGGAATCAGGTACACAAACATATATCCTATCCAATACATTGAATTCTACTTACAAAAAACACAAACAAAAACCAGATAAGACAACCTACTTTTACTTACTTCAATTAATAAACTCCACTATATTTTATTTGATAGTTTCTGCTCCTTGTATTTTCACATATTAAATATATATACGTTAATATAATATCAGAATAAATTAATGAAAATATATTTGGATACATATATAATTATATATATATATAATAAAATATATATCTAACACACTAAGAAAATAATAGAAACACAATTACTAGTACAGAGATCACTGTTTATCCATTGATTACATTTAGTTATTAATTACATGCTCATTATAAAGAACTGACATGAACTGATTAACACCGGCACCGAATAGTAAATTTAAAAAAATCACCTTACACATACCCAGGTTTTTTTTTTTTTATATAAAAGCATAAATGTCTTTTGTATTATTTTTACTCACTAGGGTCACATGTTGGTGGATCTCTATATATTAATCTCGGTCTTTTTCTGTTGTTTGGGTCTTGATTTAAAGCGCGCACTAAACAAATCAATAAACATTGTATAAACTTAAAAAAAAATAAAATATATTTCTGAACATTATTTTGGCTTACAATATTTAACTGCAATATAAAAATATACACCCAAAAACAATATTAGAAAAACAACAATTATTATTGAAAACATCAGTTAAATAATTGTTTATATAATAACAAAGAGAAAAAGCTATAAGTTAGTTAATTCATTAATTGTGAACTAAATTTTTGATTTCCTTTATTTCAATAAAACTACCTAATTAAAATTACAAGGTTAATACAAGCAAAAATATATTCATAGCCAGTCAATAATTAAATATAATTATTTTAAAACCCTGATACGTGTTTTCAACAATTTATTTAATAAAAATTGAGCAAAATGTTGATAATCAATTTTTTTATTTTACAGTTGTAAATGTTCCCCCTTCCACAGTGCTATAATACATAGAAGATTCATCAAATTCTGACATGGCTGCATGTGGCGCAACGGAAGTATACAAAGCATAGTTTTCTGCTTCAGTCAATGGAGTGTCGTTAATAGATTCATTGACACTACTATTAGATGAACACATTGATTTACTTCTTTTCCGCATATTTAATAGCTTGTGTAATAATTTGATTTTTGAAGGTCTTTCTTGTACTGTTGGAAGATATTTTATTGGTCTAGGATTTTTTTTAACTCTTTTTGGTGGCAATGGTGGAGCTGTATTGTTGTCTAATTTTGGTTTAGAATTGCTAGGAGGACGTGGGGGTACAATTGATACATCCTCATAACTGTGACATCTTTCAGGTATTGAACATGGATTTTTAAATGCCATCTGAAGGCTAGAATAAGTGCCACGCAAATCTTCACCCATAATTTCTGAAGAAGAACTACTTGTATCTTCTTTATTTTCTTTATTAATGTCATCACACATTTCTTCAACCATCTCTATAGGCTCATCTTTTATTTCAATTTTAATATCTTTTTTATCTTCATTAATACTATGTGAATCAAAAACACTAAGTGGTACTTTTTCTTCAGGTTGATCATTTGCCATATATTCATTGAAATGTTTTTCTGGTAGCCTATCATATTTCTGAGGGGACATACCTGAATAATCCGGAGTAAAGATAAATGGACGAGAATCACTACACATGCCGTCTGAAGGTCTTCGTAACTGTATTTTAACATTCACCCGATTCTGAATCTAAAATAAATACATAAGCAATTAATAAATGGGTAAAAAAATAAAAAAATAATATTTACATCAGTTGTTCTATATTTTGGTGTTCTAAAATATATAGCCACTTGTTTATGGACATCTGAAGGTTGAAAATCAGCATAACCTTCCCAAACACATGTGCCATCATCTTTTTCCTCAAAAAATCTTATTTGGATATCATCTAAAAATTAATTATATTTCAGAATATATAAAAGTTATATAATAAATCTTAATTCTACCTTTTATGACTTTTTCACATAATAGGATAACTTCATTATCTCCTGAAACTGTAGCAGATGCACTACTTAATCTACAAATAACTAAATCTGACATAGCCTCTAAAAAAAAAAAAAATTCATTTATTTAAACATTTGTTTGTTGGGTATAAGATTTTCAATTTAATTGAATAATAAAAACAAAAAAAAAAAAAAACTCACTTTTGTCATAGATAGTTTCAGAAACAATTGGTTTAAGAATACTGTACTCTCCTTTTTGTGATCCCTCTAAAAAAGCTTGAAAACACAATTTAACTGCATTTAAATCAATTGAAGCTGGGTTATCTTTATGCGAAAATCCAGCTGAAAAATAGGCATATACTTTATATTAAGAGTAGAATTATATAGATTATATTTAAGCATATTATTATATTTCAGCAACTCTTTCATAATGTAAACATAATGAACATGGTAACATTTAATTATATATTATTAGATTATCATTTTATAAAAGAACTAAAGATATTATAATAAATTAAAATATACTCTATACCAGAGGTATTCAACTGTTGGGTTATGGCTCCCAAGAGCTTCATGGTTGTAGATAATGGGAGCAGCGACTTATAATCGAAAAACAATATTAACCCATGTTTAATTTTCTTAATTTAAGGTTTTTATTATAAACATAATAATTTAATATGAAAAATGTACTGCGAATTTTCACTAATTGAGCTAATTCTATAGCAGAATATGAATATGAACTTCACGCACTCATCAAACAAAAAACTCTGAGTGTTGTATGGACTCATTGTATTATTTATAGGGAAGAGCTTATTTCAAAATCTATCAGTTAGACTCTTGATGAGCATATTGTTTAAAATCATTGTAGAGAATCAATTATTTAAATAGTAAACTTCATCAAAACTCAACTACTGAAGTCCAGATTCTTCGAACAATTGTGTATTGATACGGGAGTTGAGCATTTTTCTGTATTTTACTATTTAAATAAGTAAGTCATATATTGAACAGGAAAAATTGATCAATTTTTAGTTAGATTTTACAATGAAGACCATGTTTAAATCATAACCGTTAATCTAATTTTGGATCCACGTGGAACTGCAATATCCAGAATCAAATCTCTAAAATATAAAATTTTTTGTAACTTTATATCTATGCAATACTAGATTTTCTGTATTGGCTGTAATTAAAACTAAGTATTGGTCCTAGATGATTGTTGAGAAGAAGATGAAAATAGCTATTTTCAAACTAGAGCCACAATTTGAACACATATATTTATAAAACATAAACAAACCTATCCATCTCACTAAATACTATCTAATTTTTTTATATACATTGTATAATAAATAAATATACATACATTATATAATTTATAACCATTAGTTTTTTTTTATTATAATAATAAAGTGAGAGTTGTCATAACATTTTGAAGATACAAAGGAGCTGTGGGATGAAAAAGTTTGAATACCTCTCCCCTATACATTTCTGATTTTTATGAACTACTATATCAATTAAAATATGCATTAATAATACAATTATAAAGCTATAATTACTTCAAACTAAATATACACTGTAAATGAAATGAAATATTATTTAGAACATATTGACACAACTTTAAATGATAAATTGCAGCATTAAATTACCAAATACAAATCAAAATTTATAATTTAGTTCTTTTAATTTTTTTAAACTAATTAATACATTGATTTCTTTTATAATAAATTTTTTAAGTTGATATTAATTGATGAAAATTAAGTTTTAAATCAATTATTACAATGCTTGCAATATATATTAAAAACACAATAACAAATTTAATATAGAATTTTAGAAATTGAATTATATATATATTTTTTTAATTATAAGTTCGTTCATTCTTAGTATAAAAAATTTACAAATAATGAAAAAAATAGTTACAGAACTTTTTTTTTTATTTATATTATATGTTAAATACTAAATTAATTAAAATCATAATTTAAATATTATTTATAATTAAACATTATCAAAACTTTAAATTGACAACTTACTTCTAAATGGATCCACTCTAATTTTTTCTCGAACTTTAAGAGCATCATCTATATCTTTTCTTTTTACACACTGTATTCCTAAATTTTGAAAACTAGCTGTCATTGATTCATTATTGATTTCGATAGTACAAATTCCTTTTTTACAATTATCACGTCCAACCAAATTATGTGGATGAGGACGATATGGTTTATCTTTAGTAACACAAGATACTACAACAACTGCTCTGCCTTTATAACCCACTATCTATTAAACCATATAATAAAAATATATAAACAAAATTAGGTAAATTATTAAAATTTATTTATATATAAAATTACTTGAATTGTTGGATAAGTTTTATTTTCAGTTGTGCTATTGACCCCTGGTATACTTCCAGCAGATCTACCTTCACATTCATATCGAAATCTTAAGGCCTTTGAAGCAGGCTGTTCAATAATTTCTATATATGGTGAATTAGTAGACCTTCGGCCATTATTTGATGACGGGCTGTGCATTTGTTGAACGGGATCCATTCTATAATCTTCAATTAACGAAACTAAAAAATATTGAATACATTGTTAAAAATAAAATTATTTCAAAATAATCTGTTATGAATTGTTAGTACCTAAATAAAATAATATATATATATATACTAGATAATCTACAACCAGAAAAACTATAAAAAAATCTTGGTGTATCTAAATTTAATAAACAATAATTTACAATAAATAAAAATTTACACTAAAATAAAAACAAATAACATAAGTTTATCTTCATAAAACTAATAAAAATTATTTAATATAATTATATATATATATATATATATATATATATATATATATATATATAT